CCTGGCCTTGGGCACTGCCAGGGATCCAGGGGCAGCCACAGCTGCTCTGGGCACCCTGTGCCAGCCCTGCCCACCCTGCCAGGGAACAATTCCTAATTGCCAAAATCCCATCAAATCCTGCTTTGAAGCCATTCCCTGTGTGCTGTCCCTCCATCCTTGTCCCCAGTCCCTCTCCAGCTCTCCTGGAGCCCCTTCAGGCCCTGCCAGGGGCTCTGAGCTCTCCCTGGATCCTTCTCCTGTCCAGGTGAGCCCCCCCAGGTGTCCCAGCCTGGCTCCCGAGGGGCTCCAGCCCTGGGACACTCCAGGGCTCCTCTGGGCTCTCGGTGTCCCAGGGCTGGAGGCAGCACTGGGGAATCTCACCAGGACAGAGTATTAACTTTTTTATAAATTTCCTTAGAAATTGTTGCTCTTACTGATCCAAATGGGATCTTAAAGATCTTCCCAGGAGGATGGAGACACACAAACAATTCCTGTTTGCACAGATTCCCTGCAGAACCACGAGGGTTTGGGTTGTGGGCACTCCTTTAGCCACTGGTCCTTGCCTGTTCCCACCCTTCCCTTTCTCACCATTCCCTAAAAGTGTTCCTGGGAGTTTTGTGAGCACTCCTCCCCCCCGAGCACCCACTGACAGATTTCCCAGCCGTGTTTTCTCGTTATTCCCAAATCCCAGATGCCTGTGGGTGATGCTCAGAGTTCTACTCAGGTGGGAGCAGCTGCTGCAGGTGTCTGACAGGAAAAACTCAGGGTCTGGGACTGAATTTGGCACTCTGGGACTGCTTTGGGCAGTTTTGTTTTGAACTCCCCTAAATCACACACGAGTGGTAGAAGTGTTTGAGCTCGTGTGTGTGGTGCCTCGGGGCTGCTCCTGCACGGATGGTGCTGGATAAAATATGGAAATTCTGAGTGTCTGCCTGTACCCAGGGGCTCTGAGCTGCCTAAACCCCCCTGGGCTGGGCTCACATGCAGGGAGCAGCTCCAAGTGTGAGCAATGCTCCACAAAAACCTTTCTGTGCATCCACCCACCCACGAGGGGAGGGCTGGGAGCTGCTCTGGCCGTGAAACCCCACGGAGCCCTGAGCTCTGGGGGCTGTGGGGCACAGTGCCCCATCCCTGCAGGGGCTCCTGCCTGTCCCTTCACTGCCCAGGCTGGGACACCTTCCCTTGCCAGGCTCTGTGACAGTGGGGGCTGTTTGCACCATTTCATTACTGCTTTACACTTCATTACTTCATTAGTGCTTTGTCTCTTCTGCCTTCACTCGGAGCCAGGATTCAAAAACACACAAAGGAAATGAATTTTCTCATGTTTGGGCTTGGTTGTTTATTAAATCTTACCTAAAGAAAGTTCAGTA